GAGAATTGGGAGTTGGTAGAAGGGGGGGGGTCGTACGGACTCGACTAAAATCCCCTACCAATGATGTGACCTGTAGCCGAAGAATTTTGCGAAAAAGGCCACGGAAAGTGATGGGTAGTAGGGAGGACCAGGGAAGGTGGTGACTAGGACGGGCGGGCGCTGGTGGCGTACCAGAGGAGGAAGCTCCCAGGAGGGGGGGGTCCCATTCTGCAAAATTCTGCCCCCCCCCCAGCGGCTGAGCGGTCATGGGCGGGATGGGTGATCCCCATATGACAAAATAAGGTAGAAAGATTGTATTGAAAGAACTTTCCCACATTGTAATGGTCTTGAGCATTGCGCCCAGTGGGTGCAGCGTACACCTTCGCTAAGGAATCCACGCTACAAGGGAGGGTGGTCCCACCTGCTGTGGTGAAAAACTTCTCACCAATGAGTTTCCCATTTCAGAGGCTCTGTGCATGTGCTATATCCTCATGTCAAGTCGGCAATGGCTCCCATACCTGGCCGGATGCCCCCCTGACCTCTCTTGGCCTTACTCGACCAATGTTGGAATGTGCAGGAGGGTCGTTTTATTCAGGGACGCTTCTCCGATTCAGCGAGGCCTGGAGCCAATTACTACACGTCGTTCGTTGAAAACCCTCTGCGAGAGGTCTTATCTGCTTGTTGGAGGAAGGGGATTTTTTATTGTTATTGTTTCTTTCTCCTTACTCCCACTTTCTCCTTTCTCCCACTATATACCCCAGTGTTCGGCACTTTCGAAAACATGTGGGATTTTTGGGGAAAATTGCGGGATTTGGAAAAACTTCGTTAAGATATAACTTAGAAAGATGGTAGAAGAGACGTAAAGGACAGGAGAAAGCAATTGGTGGCAAGTACATAAAGGGCCCGTATCTCCGGAGGCATTCTCCTCGAACTGCTATGTGGTGGCCCTAGGCTCTATGTCTCTTGAGTGGCCAATGCGCCAAGAAGAATCCAAACCGGCCGGACACCACGTCATTTACTTGTCTGGGAGAATACCCACCCTGATTCGTGAAGTGCATTCTGTACAGTGAGTAGCGCAGTGCCCCGCCTGTTCTGTCCCTCAGGTGCTTGTTTTTCTCGTTCAACCCAATTGTTTTCGTGCGTGCCACATGGGGGTCGCGAATTGTTTCGTCTTCGCCACAGTAACCTGTTCCCTCTTTTACCCAATATATTTAGTTAACGCTGTCCATCCCAACGTTCACTCCGAACGCTCCACGTCTCTAGTGCTGCTCGCTCTCATTTCAGTCATTCCACATTCCTCACATTCATTCCTATCAGGGAATATCATCATTGTGGGTTCTCGACGACAGCAGAGGTCGTGTTTTAATTAGTTGTTAGGCAGGAGGGTCCTACTGGCTAGTCCGAGAATTTTGTCCAATATTTTTTTTACTCTCGCCCGTTTCTGGCATGCTATATTCAACGAAAACTGACGGTGTCTCGGTCTTTTCAATTTGTTCATTTTACGACATCTGACAGTTAGTGGAGCCTCCGCCCTCCGAGGTTTGTCGGTCATTGAGGCTTTTTGAAAAGGAGGCTGGGTAGGGGGAGAGGTGGTTGACTGACTTTTCCTGACATCCCTGGCTGGCTGCCGACGACGACATGCCTGACTTTTCTTGTCTTCTACGGCGCTAAAGTAGATGTCGTTCGTTCTTCCCTCCCTCCTTCTCCCCATTCCGCTGTGCCCGAAATGCGACACCACTTGCGAGCCATCGTTCCAGATGGCAGTTCCTCATCTCTTTGGCATACTCTGTGCCATAGATTTCTCTTCGGGATTGTATCCTGGTGGACCTTAGGCTTGGTCTGCGAGAATTTACTTGCAGTCGTGATGCCCTCTCCCCCCCTCCTCCCCACACAGGTCGGCAGAGTTGACTTTATTAGTCAGAACTGCGTGGATACACCCTCTGCCCTCTTATAGGGAAGACAGCATAGTCTGCAGAAATTCACCTCAAAGCCATAGCGTGTCGTACTCTTCCCTTCGCTTCATCACTTCCATTCGCTTGAGAGATGTTCGTTATGAGGGGGAGTCTAATTATAGATATCTCTTCAGCCAGTTCTCCTCCTTGTCGCAGTTTGGCAAGGGGGGGGGCATTTTGCACTTTCGCTGCTTCACTACTTTCGGTTTACAAGTCTCACTCTGGTGAAACCTGTGAACTCTTGTGAAGCTGGAGCAAGCTCGTCGAGCCACCACGGTAAAACCTATAAACTCACGAAACGGCTCTCTAGGGGAGGGGGGGGCGATACTTCAATGGGAAGTAAGCAAAAGTGCAAAATGCCCCCACCCCGTTGCCAAACTGCCCCTCCTTCTCAGATGGTTTATAGCCAAACGTTTCTCCCTGAGACTCGCCGCTGGTCATCGTCATCGCTGACGGGCGATTCTAGGCACTACGACATCCCCTCTGAAGCAAGTTCGCTTCGATCCAACGGAATTTTTAGAGTCTAAAAGAAAAACTTGATAAATGAGGCCGCATCAAAGACGGAAAACTCCCAAAGCTCTTGGGAGAAATCTGATTTTCCCAACAGAAGAACCATGTTTTTCTCGTAAGTCATCAAGTGGGAATGCTGAATACCCTGGACTCCCTTAGAAAGGGTTCTGTGCTTACCTCCCTCCTTCCATCACCTTCAAGTCGGCAGATGGTAAGGAGACAAAAGGTTTTCTGGGAGCAAAGCAGAGTCGAAGACGTGGCGTTGGGTGACCTTCTGGAAAAACCACCACAGCAAGTTCAAAGTGTTCCGCTTTCGGTAACGTCTGATGAATGTGTGCGTGAGCGTGTGTGTGTGTGCGGGGGTGCGGGTGTGCAGCGATGATCTGATGTCCCTGATAATTCTCGCCGAACCGTTTGAAATCTAACAAGAACTCGATTCTTATGTTCATTAGATATCCGTTCACTTTTTACATTTTCTGAACTTCCGCGAATCCACACACACACCATTGCACTCCCCGATAAACGCACAGCACACATACACACCATGCATGAGACATTTCAACACCACAACACATCGAAATGCCCACCCTTCACCAAAATGTCTTCACCTTTTCCTCCGTTTTCCTCGCCTTCCTCCTCTTTTTACTCCTCTCTTCACCTACTTTTGCCTTTTTCAGATGCCGCTGCAGACGGACAACTTTCTAGGAAATTTCGGGTTCAACTTTGATTTTGATGCATGCATCAACGTTCGCAGTAGCAAGGAAGGAAACGATATTGGTCAGTTCTTTTGCAATCCAAACTTTGCCCCCTCCAATTCAAATTTGGTCATTTTCAGACGAGCCTGTATTGGCGCACAGACTAGTGTTGTCATCGGCTTCAACTCGGTTTCGGAATCTCCTCGCCGCTGGCCAACCCGACGACTCCATGGCAAAGATAGATATTGATCTGAGGGAGATTCCAAACTCTATCAATGCCTTCAAAGCCATGCTGAGCGGCTTGTACACTGGAGAGTTGAACTTCTCTCTGGCCGATCATGCCGAGGTTGGTTGACTGGTCGCTAGGGCCGAATTCCATCGATAAACATCACAAATGAAAACAAATTCACTATCGGATGAGAATGCTTCTGTTTCAGATTCTCGCGGTAGCCCGGCACTGCCAGGTGCCGACGATAGAGAGCAAACTGTTGGCAGCTAGCCAAGACTTGAATCCATTCTCGGCCCTTTTACAACAACAAAAATTCCCAACGATCGCCTCGACACCGCCTTGTAAGGATCCTCGCCTTTCGGCCCTTATTAGGGATTCCATTTCAAGAGACCAGTGATTCAGGGCAGACCTATCTTCCACACCTTGCTTGCCCTGTACATGCAGCCTGGATTGTTGGCTTCGACATTCGGAAGCAGTGTAATACCCTGCCCGACGACTTCATTACTGGCTCCACCGACTCCTCCAGTCGAGGACAACAGGTAATGAATCGATCGAAATAGAATTTTGGCCAGAAATTTTGAGCCAGACTAATTTTAGAACACTTGCCGACGACCTGTCATCTCCGCGTAACACTCCAACGATATTCAGTGAGAAAATAGTGCCAAACGATGACAAAGAAGGTCAGTTCTATAGATTTTTGGGGGCAGTTCGGTGACGGGGGGGGGGCATTTGTGCACTTCTCGCTACTTCCCATCGACGTGTCAACCATCTAGAGAGCCATTTCGTGAGCTTACAAGAGTTGACAGGTTTTACCATGTGGCTCGACGAGCTTGCTCCAGCTTCACAAGAGTTCACAGGTTTCACCAGAGTGGACTTGTAAACCGGAACTAGTGAAGCAACAAAAGTGCAAAATGCCCCCCGTCGCCGAACTGTGCTGATGTGTGGTTTCACTGACTTTGATCTCTGGCTCATCCCATGTGTTTCTCCCCAAAATTCACCGTAACCAGTTCACGGCAGCCATCCGTCTGACCACTTAGTCAGCATTGTTTCTTTTCTTCGTTCTACTGATCTAAGCGCGTACAAAATGTCACTCGTTGAATGGCCGAGCGCCAATCATGAAAAGAAGACCGACGTCCACGTAGCGCGAGAGCAACATTTCCATATGTCCAGACAGCCTGTCGGCAGCACATTCTCATCCTACCCGCCCTTTTTTACCAACGATTTTATAGGATGGTGTCGAAACAAGAAGTACATCGAAAAAGTCGACAATGGTTTCATGTGTACCGTATGCCGAAAGATCTATGGCAGATACAATTCCGTCTCTTATCATGTGACAATCTATCATCGCAACCCTCCAATCAGGTCTGGAATAATAACTGGTAATCACTGGTCGTGGTAACTTCAGTAATCGACAATTTTCAGATGTGATGAAGCCGGTTGTCAGTTCTCGACACGAGAGGCACGATACATCCATTTCCACAAGTATTACAGGCATCATATACCGCTTCCGGACAGTATTGACCTAGGTAAGTCTCCCAGTGAGCGTTACTTATTAGGGCGGCAGGTGGCCGGGCGAGGAGAAGGAGAGCTGCTGGAGCTTATGTGAAGAAGTGCATGTAAAACTGCTTAGATGGGTCAGCGATAAGGCAAAAAATGTGACTGATCGTTGAGGGACCCACATCGGGCCATATTTGGTGGCCAGAGGTTAGAGGTCAAACACGGTCTACGATAACCAGTTGGTAGCACGAAGTTTTGTTACCTCTGATCGTTGGTCGGAGGTCTCCCTAACCCACATTCACGCTAGGCGGATCTAGGGGTGGGTCACTCCAGAGGAGAGGGTAGAGTCGCTTCAAAGGTAAGAATGAGGGAGGGGGTTATAGTGAGGGACAGGCAACCACATCTTCGTGATGTACTGCAAGGACAAATCAAATAGGGAAATTTTTCTGAATATACCTATCTCTTCCCCCCCCCCCCTCCTTCCAATCGTTGACAAACTAGGACGCGCTGAAGCACCTACTCTCTACAACCGAGTATAACATACTGCTACTACAGAGACTATACTGGGTTGTGGTGGATCTGAAACAGGAAAAAAAGCAGGAAAATTTTTGAAAAAAATACTTTAGAAGTCTCCACTCTCCCAAATCACCTAAAATGTGT